TCCTATAAATTACATTGTTGCCCTATCATTTGTTATTATTATTATTATTATTATTATTATTACTTAGAGTTTTGAGACTAGATCCAAGTTAAAATAAAATTTCAGAGACATTTCCAGAGCCCTTCCCCAAGTCTGCCAGCACCCCCCTCTGTGCCATGGAACTGTGTGGCCCTTACAACCCTAACTCCAGAGTAGCGTATCACTCAACTCTCACCAGAGAAGCTTATTTTTACAGCAGATAGCGATTAACGCAGAGACACAACCCAGTCGACATGCAGAGACTAAGAGACTGTGGAGTGCTCAGCACTAAATGAGACACCTATATCAAATCATTTTCCCAAATGGCTGAGAGTGTGGCAGAAGAGGGGCTGGAAAGACTTTAAGAGCCAAAGGTGGTAGATGGACTATAAGGAAACTGTTTCCAGATACAACTGGGTAGTTGCACATATGAACCCACATTGTGGGTTGTGACAGCATGCATAAGACCTGTGCAAGTCCAAGCCAGACAAAATCCCAGCACGAAGAGGGGCAAGTGGGCACAGCATCCCACCCTTAGCTAAGGAGCTATTGACAATTGATAGTTGCTCAGAGAAGCAGAGTCAGTTTTCTTTGACAGTGTGACTCCGGGTAGGTTAAACATGCCCGAAGGGATGACCCATACCCAAGAGAATCTGAGGAACACAAATTAGACTTGATGGGCTTAAAAAAAAAATTAGATGGGATGGGTAGGGAAGTGGGAATAGATCACAGAGGAGATGGGGAAGGGGTTGAGTATGATCAAAATATCTTGTATGACATTCTCAGTCAATAAAATACTATTTAAAAATAAAATTTCAAATCCAAGGCCAAATATGGCTGTCAGTCATTCCAGGAGACTGTTGAGTTCTTGCTTAGGAACTCAAGTTCTATGTAACATACAATCTTCACTCACGCTATGAGAATTTCATATTCAGACCCCTCCCCATCTGCACCCTCCTTTCTGCCTGATTTCATGTCTCCTGTTACTATTTTTAAGACTTATGGAGTCTAATTCGCTTCTGCAAATTCCCTTCAGTGTGGGTCCATTCCTGGAGCCTGGTCAATCTACCCAGCATCACATCCTTAAAGAAAACTGACTCTCCCTCTCCTAGCAGCTGTCAATTGCCAATAGTTCCTCAGCTAGGGGTGGGGCTTCTTAATCACCTCCCTCTGCAATGCTGGTCAAGCCATCTTTTTATGTTACCTTCAAAGGTACGAAAGCAGTATTTTACAAAGCATATGTTAAGTACTAGAAAGGAATCTATTTTATTGTTGTTGTTAAAACAATGAGTTCTGGCTGGAGAGATGGCTTAGTGGTTAACAACACTTGCTGTGACCACAAGACCACAAGGAAACAGTGACCACAAGAAAATAGTTTTCCAGACAGCTGGTCAGTTACTCATGTGAACTCACAGCAATGGTGACAACAAGCACAAGTCCAATGCAAGTGCAAACCAAATCCAAGTACAGACATGGGGAAGTGGGTAAGAAACCACAACCCTGCTGAAGGAACTTTGGGCAACTGATGGCCACAGCCTCTTTCAAGAGTGGATCAACCAGGCTTCTCCCACACGGAAGGACATTTGGGGGACACAGAAATAGACTTTATATGCGATATATATATATATATATATATATATATATATGATAGAGTACATTAAATTGGGTGGGGGGTAGTAAGAGGAGGCGTGGATAGGAAAGGAATCTAAATATCAGCAAATTATATTGTATGAAAATCTCAAAAATTCAATAAAAACATTTTTAAAAAGCACTTGCTGCTCTTGCAGAGGAGCCAGGTTTGGTACCCTGCCCAGCACCAACACTGTGTGGCTCACAACCATCTGTAGCTCCAGCTCTAGGGATGCCCTCTTCTGACCTCTAGGGGCACCAGGCACACACATGGTACATATGCATACATGTACATAAAGTTTTTAAAACTTTAAAAATTTGCTTTATCACAGCAACTATAGCCAGTCTCTTGAGATGGGCAGAGTCAAGCAATAACCATCAAACATCCATATTACAGTAAAGAAAAAGAAAATTTGTATTAAAATAATTTTTTTAAGTTCGTTTTTTTAATATTATTTATGTTCCTATGCCTGTGTGAGTATATGCCTGGTGTGTGCAGGTATCCAAGGAGTCCAGAAGAGGGCATCAGATCCTCTGAAGCTAAAGGAGGCTGTGAGCCACCCTGCATGGGTGCTGGGAACTGAACCTAGATCCTCTAGAAGACCTAGCAAGTGTTTTAACCACTGAACCATCTACCCAGCTCCTAAAACTCAGTTTCTCTCTATGACAATTCACAACTTCATTGATGATATAAATCCAAATTCTCTTGGGGTTTTGTTTGTTTTATTTTGTTTTGTCTTTTCAGACAAGGTCTTATACAGCATAGTCTATGTAGCCAAGGATGACTTTGAACTCCTGATCCTTCTGCCTCTGCCTCCCAGAGCTGAGATTACAGATGTGCTACCATGCCACCACACCCAGCTCAATCTTA